ATAGATGCTATTATTGAAAGAAATAGGTAGCAAACAAAAGATTGACCTTATTATAAATTTCAAGTGTATGTTAAATATTTCAATTGAATGTATTTTTTTATTCATTATAAAAGAGTAGAATTTTACATGAAAAACTAAGTTATATTGCATTAATACTCTTGACGTAGTGTATATATATATTAATATATAAAGTATACAATGAGTCTACAGGAGAACTTATCAGTCATACGTTTGTCAATAAAATCATTCTTGCTGGCTAATTCACCAGGTAAATTATAGCAGGCCTGAAATTGTAATTTATCAAATCAAATCACTAAACATGCCATTTATTCTAGGGCGGGGATGTTTCATCTTTTGAATAAGAGTGATTGGTGTTATTTATTCTTTAAGAAATTTGTTAAGAAACTTACTGGAAGATGAGTTGGGAAGCAACAATAAGTAATAATATAATTTCACAATTATAATAATAATTATTATGATCACATATTTTTGTTTTCATTAATCAAGATTGGTTTTTGCATAATTATATTGTAAAACACAGATCAAAATATGACTCACTTAAGACAAATTTATGTGTAGAATATTCTTAAAAATCCTTTATTCTCCGCTGAATGTCCACAAGGTGGATGTGATAATAATTATTATTTTAAAGCCGCTGTTGATAAGTTTGGCTGTATTCGAATTAATGTTGTATGTGAAATTGAAACTATTACTATGTGAAATTGAAATTTATAATTAAATTTTTGAGGTGGGTGTGTTTGGATAAATTTAACATCTTTTTGATCGTTGTGCATATTAATATACTGGACATAACTATAAATTTTGGTTTCACAGAAATTTTCCTTTTTTTTATTTTTTTTTAAAAAAAAAAAGGAAATGGCGGATTCAATTGTCACTTCAGAAGGCCTTAGTGAGTATGATGGTGGTGACATTGATAAAGAAAATTTGAATGTTTATGATATTGGTCAATAAAAAATGAATGGAATACAAATTTTATTGTCTTGAAAAACTGTACTATACAAATAAATAAACAATCATTTTTGTAGTCATGTAATTATAATTAATATCAACAGGAAAAGTTTAATTGACAACCATTAAGAAAATAAAATGAAGCAATTCAACAAGAAAAAAATAAATAACATATATATTATTATTTAATTCTTTACTTTTGATTCAATCTATTAACTAATTTCAATTCATTGAATTTACTTTCCAATTTACTGTTTTCACTTTTTAATTCATTGATCATTTTATTACTTTTCAATCCATTATTATTACTTCCCAATCCATTGTCT